CCTCCTTAAAACATCATAATTTCACCTAGGAATATATATTTTCCCACTTGTGCATCCAAATACAACAATCATGAAAAATCATACCTAATCACCTTCTCGAACCATCGTAAAGCATATTAACAGTCAAGCCCACAATTTGCAATATATACACAATCATCAGCATAAACAAGGTTCATATCGATTAGGGCAAGTCAATAATATCATACAACAATCCAGGGTTCAACATATAGCACAAAAGTCCATACACCCCTAATCATGCCATTCTAGTTCACCTAGATCAATTCTAAGCATCAATATAATTATCGTGATACGACAAACCCGGTATGCCGTGCTAATCCCTCACCAGTTCTGGTTGTTCAAACACCGGTTTAAGCTTCCCGTACTAAAACGTCAATTTCACGAACGAACCCCGAATTAAATCCGAGACCGTCCTAATACCCCCTGCAGTATCCCCGTCAATATTAGTTCTAGGCTTCGGGTCAAATTCTCGATAAAAACACATCAAACACTGGCCGGAGCTAAATTCAGCGGTTTGGACCCCGGCCTAAATAATTGCCGAAATTCAGGGATTAGAACTAGAGGATTGGTTACCTCGCTGCGGGAAGCTCGTATATGAAATTTGGGCTCAATCCGGCTTCCGGATACTCCGAAACCCTAATTTGGCAGATCGGGAATTCAAGAAATTCCTGAACCAAAAACTCGTTTTAAAGTTCTAAATCGATAAATCACGGTGAATAGATGAATTAGGCATTACTTACGGGATTTTTGGGTTACTAAAACTCAAGAATCGAGCTCGGAGAATTTCCTGCTCTGTCTCCTGCGCGCCCTGTTTCTCAATGATCTCTCGGTTCTTATTTTGCTACGAAAGGAAGAAGATGGAAAAAGGACAGGGTTTTATATATACGTATACTTATCCGATCGAATCGATAATCCGATTTTCGCCGAAATAGTGTCGAAATGCTCGATTTTAAATCGCGAACTTTCTAGCGATCGAAATATGGGTTTTGCCGGAACGGGATGTTACAATTTTATGGATAAGGATGGCCTTATGGATAAGAACAACCTTATGGATAGAGGCAACCCTTCATATGGATAAGGATAACCTTTCGTATGGATAAAGGAAACCGTTCATGAAACAATGCATGGATTCGGCCCTTATAAATATATGTGTGGGGTGGATGGTGCCACATACCATCAAACATATTCTTCTTCTTTCTTCCAAAAATTTCTAAGTACGCTTTAGTATTCTTGAGCCTGGAACCTAAAGCGGTGATAATTTTATCCTCAGAAGAAATTTCCTGTAACCCAAGGCTTTGTAGAGGGTGGAAATATTCTTTTCGGGAAAGTGAACGTTGTTCACAACTCTATCACAATCCTGATCACCAGGTGTCGGGCTATCGTACGTGTACACCATAAGACAACCTTTCATGAAACAATGCATGGATTCGGCCCCTATAAATATGTGTGGGGTGGATGATGCCACATACCATCAAACATATTCTTTTCGGAAAGTGAACGTTGTTCACGACTCTATCACAATCCTGGTCACCCGGTCTCGGGCTCTCATACGTGTACCCTCGCCCCAATAAAGTCCCAACAATTGTCAAATGTGATTCTGTTTATTGAATTAGGCGGTACAACAAAGAATATTCTTTCTCTCAATTTTTCTGCATCGAGAAGGTACTCGTAAAGAAAATTCCTTAGTGGAAATTGTTGTGGGTTAGATACGACAATGGATCCACAAGTATGGAACTTATGGTTAATACTGGTCAACCAGTTTTACAACTGGAGTATTCCATGTTAAATGAGTTTGATGTATGCATGACTTGCACGATGCTAGATATCACATATGCGATAGAACAATTAAGTCGGTACATGATGAATCATAGTGCTCATCATTTGAAATGAAGTGAAGCTTGTACTAAGATATCTCAAAGACACCATAATACATTCTTCTTCTTACTAAAACTTTCTAAGTATGCTTTAGTGTTCTTGAGCCTAGAACCTAAAGTGGTGATAGTTTTATCATCGGGAGAAATTTCCTGTAACCCAAGGCTTTGTAGAGGGTGGAAATATTCTTTTCGGAAAGTGAACGTTGTTCACGACTCTATCACAATCCTGGTCACCCGGTCTCGGGCTATCGTACGTGTACCCTCTCCCCAATAAAGTCCCAATAATAAACATGTCGTGTTTGGAGATGGTGAAGCAGCCTTATCTTGGAGTTCAAGCCTTTTGTAATTCATACCTAGTTACCTACTCAAATCACATTATCTATGATCCATCTCCATCTTCCGTATGCATTTTGTGTCATAATTTTTGTTCGATTTCTTATGTAATAACCAAATGAGGGGGGTTTAAAAGTAGATCCTCACTGGATGAATGAGCAATTTAGGTCCCTCTTTTCAAAATTGCATTTGTTTATGGTTAGAAATTTACTATTTTCTTTTCCAAATTGCATTTGTTTATGGCAAGAAATCAATAAGAATGGATAAAACCAAGCGAATCAATTAAGAATGCAAACACGGGTGGGCAACGAGATGGTCCACACCTAAACAAACCGATGTTTGGAGCGGATCATTTCGATTAGAATATAATTTGGTTCAATCTTGATCCTATTAATTTTACAAGTATTGAGAAAAATAGACCAAATTGACATTTGGATCGGACCAAAACGGATCGAATGCAATATTGTCTGGTCCTTGGTCTTGAGATATCTTTCACTATTGGACCGCAGTTTTTCTGAGTTTGTCTGATTCGGTCCGGACCGGACTGATGCACACCCCTAATCGCAAATGGCAGGACCATAAACTAGAAGAGTCAAAAGATAACGTAGTTGATTGAGTCATTATGCACTAGATATTTGTTTAGGGTTATGAGAATTATGTTAATAATTTGTGTATGCCATGTGTGTTATTTTTAAATTTATGCTAGGGCTCACTTGGAGTGACCCAAAGAAAGATGTGAAGTGATCTAAGAACATGAGCATAAAACCATAAACGCCCACTTTTGTTCATAGCAATAACCAACATGCAAGGCAATAGAAATTTGTTCATCTTTACGAGAATCGTACTAAGAAATAAGGGTCAAGGTTTTGTTGCCTCAAGTTGTGTTTTGAATTTTATGACCTAGATTCTGATTTATATGGTTAATACTGATAGTTTGAGTAGTCAATGCAGTGGGAAAATTATTCGAGTGGCTTGGTGTTGTCTTCATATTATTATTTTTTTGTTGTGAAAGTTGTCTTCATATCTTTGTTTGTAAAAGTTAAGAACCTACCGTATTTACTGCAATTGAGCTTTTAAAATAAGTGGGAAATTAGTGAAGCTCTAATCTCATACTCAATACATCACTTTTTCCATGTTAGAGTAGCCAACTTGGTGTAACATATTTCGCAATGTGTCATCCTTGACATGAAGGTTTTCAACATACCAATCGATGATCAGTTCATATTTACTTTCAGAAATTATTCGAGTTTTTTGCATACAAGGGTTTATGTGGATTGACCGATTTTATGGAGTTGTCTTCAATTTTCACAGCTCTAGCTTTACCTACGGTTATGCCGCGGGTCATTATTCGAGTAGAAAACTTACATAATTTTTATTTAGTAAATTATTTTTCTCAATCGAACAAACATGTCCAAGGAAAAACCTTGTTGTTTTCTATCAATCTAAAGAGAGAGAAATGTTTTTTTTTACCAATATAGAAAGATGTCAACATGTTTGCCATTAGTAATTTCATCAAAATCAGAATTAAAACCTATTTATATAGTCGAAATAATATCTCAAATATACTAATAAGCCAGATTCGTTAATGCACGAACGCACATACTCTTTAAATCCAAATCGACGCATCATTACTTAATCAAAATCCAAATCTAATTATTACTCTTACTTCTCAATCGGCCAACGGGTCGGGGTAAAAGCTAGTTGATACTTGATTCTCAATATATTTAGCAAAGTGTAGATAAAAAATGGCTTCATGCTCATGCACCCCTTATTCAAACTTAACCCTTAATCCCTTATCAAGTGCGCGCAATAGGGCTGAGAATCATTGCGATAATTTGCCTGTCGTGACCTCACATATTATGGTTGTTTGTAAACCAGAAGCCACAAGTGCGATTAGTGACTATTATGGCTAACTAAATAGCATAGTTAGTAAAATATTAAATATGGTACGAAAAAATTACATAAAAAATACGTACGGGTATTATACTTCGTCTCTAAGGTAAATTTACGTTTAATAGTACGTTAATAGTAATAAATATATAAAATTAATCATTTTAAAAATAAATAAATATATAAATAATAGTAAAGTTAACAATTTAATTCATAAAATACGGATAATAAACGTGTTATACGGGTTTTATATGTGTTTAGTACGGGAGCCATCAAATGAATGGGAAAAAATGAAACGACTTGACAATAATACGGATACGGAATTTTTAAACGGATAAAATATGTACGGGTACATATACGTGTATTAAACGGAGTATTTACTAACTATGCTAAAAAGACTATTTACAAACAAAACTTGAAGGAAGTGGCTAAGTATTATACATGGGTCTCTTCCAATAATTCGAGTTATTGCGAATAGTTGGGCTATGACATGGTATTATAGCTTGGTTTGTAATTGAGATCACGTGTTCAAGTCCTCACGACCCCTAATATTAACCGGTGTCTTTCAAGCACATGGTATGACGGCTCTGTGCAAACTTCAAACCCTTGAGTTGACTTTCATTTGAGAGAGACGTATAAAGAAATGGTTAAATACCATACATGAACCTCTTCCTACATCTCAAGTTATTTTGACTAGTTGGTTTATGACAAAACCAAAGAAAATGGGGGAGAACGGGTAGGACTTGGAAGTCGAACAAGGCCAACATGTTAAATGGGTCAGGATTTGTGTAAGCTGGGCTTGGCTAGTATAATGTGATTCAGCTTCTCATTCGATTTGGATATTATTTGATCGCGGTTAAACCACAAAACAAGCTATATTCATAACCGAATAAGAGATGTTTATTTGATTTGTGATTAGTAGCAACCCGCACAGTTTTGAAGTGTTACGATTAAACACTAAATCAAAACCGAATTTACACTCTAGCTCTTTTTTTCTGAAACGAAGATCGAAGAAACACCGAGATGAAGGCAAACTGCAACATCAAAATTGATCTCGAAGTAGACTCATAAGTGATCGATATATTAATTATATAGAACCGGCTCAAATCTTTTTCTTTTTTTTTGTATTTTAGTATTAATTGTACAAAACAAAGAGAGAGGAACCACGGAATTAAGCTTTCGGGATAACTTATTAAATCCCTAAAAACCATTCCTAACCGCCGTCCCCATGAAACCAAAACAAAAAGGGAAAATTGAAAAAGGAGAAAACCCCGCCCCTAATCATTAATTACTAATTAGCAGTCCACCATAATAAATAATTAATAATTGCTCTAAATTGTTTGCCAATTTAGTCTAACACCTCCATGCTGACGTGGCGATGAGTGGCCGCTCGTGCCAGCAGAGCACCAGCTCAGCCTGCCGTTTGGCCACGTAGAATCCCCTCGCTTGAACTTTCCCCAACAGCGTCTCAGCCTGAAAATCCGCGAACTGGCTCCACCCAATCGGCCACATACCCGCCCCGGCGAAGACCTCCTTCCAAGGCGGCGCCGCCCCGCGTCCGCACCCTTCCACCGCCGCCAAAATCCTCGGTCTCATCAGAAGCATCTCGATCTTCCTCGCCCAATCCCCGCCTCCGATCGCCACCGCCCCGCCGCCTTCCAAGGACTCGAACATAATCGAATAGAACTCCAGACTGTTGACGAAATTCCTCCTAAACGACGCCGTCCCGGAGGAATCCCCCCACCCTTCCCAGTCAACGAAAACGACGACACTCGGCCCCACCCGCCGAAGATCCGAAACAAACGCCGTCGGGCCGCCCGTCAGGCTCAAACGGCGGAAAATCGCAGGGGAGAGGAGGACGGCCGTCTTCTCTCCGTCCACGAACCGGATCGACTTAAACGACAGCGCTTCGAAGGTCCGGAGAAGCACGAACTCGATCTGGAACCGCAGCTTCAGCTCGTGGGCGAACTGCGTCAGGCTTTCTCTGATCAGCTTCGTCTCGATCGCGTACTCCTCCGTCACCACCGCCGTCACGCGGAGGATCGGGGCCCCGAATTTGCAGACGGAGCCCCGCTCCGCCAGCTCCCGCATGAACGAGGAGTACTGGCAGCCGAGCCCGATGTCGAAGTCCACGACGTGAATGAACGGCGACGACGGCCCGTCGAGCGCATCGAGCAGCGCTTGATTGGCGGTGAAGTGGGCAAACATTGGGATCGGAGATATCCCGGAGAAAGCCCTGTACGCCCTAATCGTTTCCACGATTTCGGACCACGAGGAAAGGTAGGCCGGAGGGCGGGTCGAGACCGTGAGCAGAGACTGCAGGGCTTCCTTGAAGAAGAACGCCGCCCGATGAAGCGGCTTCCCTCCTCCTCCTCCTGCCGCCGCCGGCGACGGCAGTTTCTGATTGAGCCGCTCCAGTATCGCGTGCGCCAGGTGGAATTGGTTCGAATCGAAGCAGTCCGCCGCCCGAATTAAGTCCTGGACGGAATCGAAGCCGCCGACGGCGGCCGAATTGGGGGAATTCAGGTTGTTGTGGAAGCTGTGGGAGAGGTCGAGGGAGCTGAAATCGTGGTTGTTGAGGAAAACGTCGCCGTATTCGGAGTGATGGACGAACAGGGTCGGGTCTATACCCGGGAGAGCCGACCCGAAAATCTGATGATGATCCCCTGCTGCTGTGGATCCCAAACTCTGGCTCTGGAGATGGGAGTCGGCGGAAGCGAATTGGGCAAGACTGGAAAGTGTGGTCTTATTGGTGTGGCCGGAATTGTTGTTATTACTGCCATGATCTTCGTGGAAATCCAATTCCCTCATAATGGAATCCCAATTGAAATTCTCCAGAACGTGATCATCCCACTCGAGCGGGTCAGGGGCAGAGACGAGCTTGCCAACAGCGGGGCTGGTGGTCCGACCCAGTTCAAGAACAGAGGTGGGCTCGTAGCACAGAGCAGGAGCGAGGCTGGGGAGATTGTTGTTGTTGTTGTTGTTGTGATGATGGTTGCGAGGTGGGTTGGGTTCGGAATTGATGGAGGAAGCAGGAACAGGGACTTTCATAGCGCAGCTGATGATCAGGTGGAAATGAGAGGAAGAGTGGCAGAGAGGGAAAAAGGGTGAAGCAAGCAAGCAAGGTCACTGGAAAGTAAGGTATTGGAAAGTGCGGGAGGGAAGGGGCTTTTGGAAGTGATGATTGTGGTCTTTTTATCTTCAGCAAAGCAAAGCAAAGCGTCGCATGGCATGACGACGGTGGGATTGATCCGACGGTGGTGGGCGGGACACTGTGGCGGAGCCACTCACAGAATTCACTCAACCTTTTTTTTTTAGAAACAGGTCAGTATCTCAGCCTAGTTATTCTGCTAACTGTATAAGTTGTTTGTATATACTAACTAATATCCAAAATGTATTAACTAGTATCCAAATCTGCGAATTTTACTAAAGTATCTAGATAACACAGACTAGTATTCAAAACATCACAAACTAGTATCAAGATACCAACTAATATCCACAATCAACCAACTAGTATTCAATATGGATACTCTTATAGGTTATATGGATACTCTTATGTGTTATCTGGATACTAATTATTTGTTGTTTGGATACTATTTTGGGTTGTCTAGATATTAGTTTGTGAATTTTGGATAATAGTTGATTCATGGTGGATATCAGTTAGCAAACTTTGAATACTAGTCTGTGCTCTCTAGATACTTTAGTACTTGGATATTAGTTCATGCAATCAACACTCATCAGAGGGATTAAAATATAATACATTTACAAGTTTGTGTAGAAAGAAAGCACGAGGTTTATCTGCCCAGCTTTTTTGGTTGTAAACTACATTCATTACTTATGTTACAAATGAAACTATTTCCGATATACACAACCTAATAATCATGAGCCTTTGATTGAGAAAAGAGTTCAGATTTTGCTTCAATTCCATGTGTGTTGAGCCGAATCTGAAACGATGAAGTACCTTTTTTGGGAGTACCCAATTGAAGTGGTTCTCTGAACTCATTCGGGATTGGAGCCTCTGGGGCATGGTTTGCCTCGTCATACATTTCCTCTTTTTCTTAAAATGTGCTTGCTTAGAATGATCCAGTCGGCTCAGATTATGGATATGGTGGCACTTCTGTGGCGGATTTGGAAATCTAAAAACTGGGCTGCCTTTGAGAGCAAGCAGTTCTTGATTCCTCAACTGATGCGCCAATACCATCAGCAACTCTATGAATGGGTGTCCTTACCAAAGGACAGGTTGGTCCGGGATCGGCTTCCTTTGCAGCACAATCTGGAGATGGTGGATTTGACTTCTGTCGTTTGTATGTGGGATGGGGGGGTTCATGTCGACTCACATTCAGGGGGGGGGGGGGGGGGGGGGGGGGGGGGGGCTGATCGTAAAGGATGGAGGAGGGTCTATGTTCTTAGCCAGAGGAATGGTGTTTGAAAACATTGTTGACCCTCTTGTGGTGGAGACTATTGTCCTCCGTGAAGCTATTCAGTGGTGTCAAAATCTTGGCATCCCTCAAGTTCGCTTTGAAGGCGATGCGAAGGTGCTCATTGATAAGATTAATGACAGGAATGCGCAAGACAGTCGTGTTGGGGCTATTATCCAGGAGATTATGTGTCTGTTGGCCCTGAGTAGTGGTTTTCGGGTTCGATTCGTGGGTCGGATTAGCAATAGAGTAGCTCATTCAGTGGCTAGGAAGGCTCTTTCTTTGTCTCCGGCTGCATGTCGCATGTATGATTTTCGTGCCTAGGTTGGTTCCAGGGTGTAGTTCGTGATCTTTTTATCAATCAATATGATTATCTTTTGTTTAAAAAAAACAATATTTCATCAAATTGGTCACTCTGTAGATCATTTTTATTGACTTTATAGCTGAAAATGCCCTTTCGTACCTTGAAATTGTAACAAGTAAAGTCAACTCTAACTTCAGAAACAAGTAAACTAAATAATAATAAGCATTGTTTCCTCTTTTCACCATTCGTCTTGCAAGCTCAATGGTTCCTCGCAATTCATCAAAGCTCATAACTTCCTCTGACATGAGAAATAGTTAATTAAAAACTAAAATGACTAATATATATTTACATATTTTAGTAACTTTATAATAATAATTGGCCGTAGCATAATGAAAGTGTGTCATTTACAATTATTGGAGATGTGTTAGAGGTTTTGAATTCAAATTTTTCGTACCAAAAAGATCTAGACCTCTCACAAAATTTTTGGGCGAAGATGTGTTGGTCGACACATCTTGCCATCACTTAGGTCCACCACTGACCGTGTACTGTGTGATTCTATTTTATTTTCGTAGTTTGTGATTACCCTATGTTACAACAATTAAGAAAAACAGGTAAATTTTGTAACAAATCTAATAAATAAAACAGATTGGTAAGGCTTAACCTTTCCTGCTTGACAATTCGAATCTGAATCTCTCGGGTCTCATTTTTAGGGTTTCCCACATTCTAATTTCTGGCTCGACCAACATCGCTTGTTTGCTTGATGGATTTAGTGAGTAATTTGGTGATGCATTTGGGTTCATGATGGATTTTGTCCAAAATTTATTGTTTGCTTTAAGTATTTAGAGGTACCAAATTTATGGGACTCATGGACCTTGAGGCTCCAAATTCGTGGACCCCACGGACTTGAAAATTCCACATCTGTAGGTGGGAATTGATCATAGACTTTGAAGTCCATCAATTTTATCAATTTACCCCACGTATTTTCTTTCTCTACTTATATCATTGAGGGCAATAAAGGTAAAGTTCAATTCATACATACAAATTTAATTAACAAAATCCATAATGAAATCCATGAACAATGGTCTTTTTCAAATCCATAATGAACCCAAAACCCTCATATATCCATGGTTTATCGAAACCTTAAGTTATACCAAAATCTTCATTTTTCAAATCCACGAAACAAACACTCCTTAAAAGTTTGTGGGTTTGTGGTGATCTAATTTTTAACGATAGTCATACATGAACATGAGGGACATGTGTGGCCATGACACTGCTGCTGAATTCATTAGTCAGAGAGCAACGTAACACAACAACGTAGAGTCTTCCTCCAACTTTTTATCTTGTTTTCTGAAGCTTCAAGTTGAAGGCTTCGCAATCCCTTTTGCTTTCTGGGATTCCCTCCAGCCCTCATTGGGTTTGCCCAGCTAGTGCACTCGGCCCCGCCTCTGCTGCCTTTCTCCTCCCTACACTTTGCAAGTTTTTGTAGTTCGCTTTTCTTAACGTTACATGTTTCGTGACTAAATCACTCACTACATAAATGTAATATTGGTATTACTTTTATTAGTTATCATTATTATTATTATTGTGTTGATTAGTCGCACGTTTGGGAATACTCTAGCAGCCTCAGAAATTAGTTCTTACTAATTAAAGTGATAGGTAGAGAATATGAGTTAGGTACATACTGTTTTGTTTGGGGTACTTTGAATCAGTGAACTAGGAATACCAGTTTAAGGACCACCGTACCCAAATACATTTCAATTTGTAGTTCTAAACTACAAGTATAATAATTGCCTAAAACTCAAATTCCCGACGGAACAGTGGGGGTGCAATATATGCATGGTGGAAAATCAAGTTTTTGCACAGCAACCTCAAGGCGTATATATGTTTTAGATATATACTAGGTGGCGATGCCGCGCCTTGTTACGGGACGGAGATGGCATATGAGCATGCATTATGTGGTCCGTTATGTAGTTTTGTTAGTATTAGTATACTAAAATTATTTTTTTGTTACCAGTTTTGTTAGTAATATTAACTGAGAAGAGATATATGGCGGTCAACATCCGGCCAATTTAATATTTTTTGAAAATTTTGGCTACTAAAATATTTTTACTAAACCCAAGTAGACTCATAGATTATGGGTAGGGTAGGAGTGACATATTTGTATATGGGTTTGGGTACGGTATGGATATTTACTTTCATAATCTAAAATGTGTATGAGTTGGGTATGGATACCCATTTATTCAAGGGTGTTTTAATTACACATACAGAAATTAGACCAATTAATTTGCTGAACTTCAAAAGTTTAGGTACCAAAATGTAATACAAAAAAATTTATGGTACTAAAATGTAATGTTCCATCAATATTTTGACGGATTATATGCAAAAAAAAAATATTTAGGTTATAAATGTTAAGATCTATTAAGTTTAGGTACCGAACTGTAATTTGCATAGTTAAGACTTAATTCCTTTTATGGTGATGTATTTTAGATGATAATTATTTACTTTTTTTATAGAAAATAGGGAACTATTTATTTGATATATGTAGATATCTAGCCAAACATTCTATGTATAATTGTTGAAAATTCTAGTCCGAGTGAAAAAGAAAAACTATGAGGAGAAGCAAAATGAATACAAACTGGAACTAGCTTAAAATTTCACGCCTTCAAATCTCACAGTGGAAAATGACGACTTTCTAATAAGGAATAACCATATATATTTATTTTTAATTGGACTCGACATTGAGCTGAAAAAGTTGGTGGTTCATGGTTCAATTATTAATTCTCTAGACTGTTGGTGAGTCGTGTATGGACCCGTTTATACTTGTGATTAGAATACATAAAAATAATATACTAATTAGGGTTAGACGAAGAAGGCAAAGAAAGAAATAAAGAGGAAGTAGATGATGGAAAGGTTTTGACCAATTTTTTTAGTTGGTCGTCAATACAACAATCACTTCTTTTCATTGTAGCAATTTATTGACACTTGCTTATGTAGATGTCGCATATTTTGTTACATGTAGTTATTAGAAGTCTGTTTAGTACCTTGTAAATGTATTAAATGAGTTTATAAATTCGCTCTTACAATATTTTAGAGTCGTCTCTCTTTTATCACGTATTTAATGTATCACGTAATAAGCATATATAAAATAGTTGAATCTTCTCATACAGTTGGATGATACAACATCTTATATGGTACAAACTAAATTTATACTTGTTTGAGCCTAACTGGGTGTAGGAGTGAGACTCGGGGAAAGTGGGGAGAGAAGAGTCAGCAAGGTGAATCTCCAATTTGTTAATGGCTAAAAGTTCAAGAGAGTGAGGTTGAGAGAATCAGGTTTCTAGAGAGAGAAGTTGATGTATTTAGTGATAGAGTCGAAAATCTGATCCCCTCACCTTCGTAGTAAATGCTCCTTTTATAGTACATTGCGGTGAGTGGATATTTAATGCGACAAGACCACTACGTGTGTCAGATACTTAGGTCATGCTTTAGGCCATAATTATACCTAGGACTATGACTAGGATGTGACCCTTCCTTCAGAGGATACGACACCGTTTTTCTCGGCTCTATTTCCCAGTTCGAATTAACCGAAACGACGACGGCTTGGGCAGGACGAAACGACGCCGGTTTGGGTAAAGCGAAACGACGCTGGTTTGGGCAGAGCGAAACGACGGCGGCTTGGGCGAAGCAAAACGCCGCCGCCTTGTGCTTCAGTCATTCGCGTACGTGTCTTTACTCGCGGGGGTTCACTGGGCCATTTTACTCACGCGACTGGATCCGAGCTATATCCCCAACAATTGCCCCCCATCAGGGGGTATTCTGTGAATGACGCCTGTTATGCTCTGCGCGGCAGGCTCGGTTCCTTGCGCTCCTCGTCCGCTTTCTCGGCGAGTACACCATGCGTGACTTGTCTTTTTCGCTGTCTCCACCTTCCTTCTTGTGCTCCTATCGGTTTTGCGCGGTGTAGCTTTGTTTTTTGGGTGTCTTTTTTTTCCATGGGTACACCATGCCCCCAGGCGGTGTGTGTACCTTGTGACGTCACCACCTAGCCCCTAGTATCTATAGGTGCTGACGTGGCGCTCCGTCATTCACTCGTTTGGGCGGTTGCTTTTTGAATTTCAAAATTCCTTACGTTTCCAGTTCTCGATGCACCTTTAACCCTTCGATTACTCCTCTGTGGGTTATAAATACTCCTCTTTTTACGAAGAAGAGTTATTCTCTTCCATCACTTCTACTTTCTCTTCCGTCGTTTTTCTCTGCCGACGAGATTCCTCTTCTTCTCCGATGACCTTAAATCTCGAGATTGTTCGTGGTATCTTCCCAGAGGCACAATGGCCAACACCGATGTGAACAACGAGATCTTGGTCGTACCAGATGAAGAAGGTAATCTTTCTCCTTTCTCTCCTGTCTCTTCCGATCGGTCTCTGAATCTGGCCGAGTCCGACAACAATGGCGGCGACGGAGCAGATGAAGGAGGTGCACCGGCGACGCCGTCATATGATGTCGATTCTGGCCCGGATCTGCTGCATGGCTTTTCAGACGCGGGGGAGGTGAATCGTGCGAGCGGTGAGACGAGTACGCGTGCGCGGGGGGTACTAATAATCTGCCGCGATCACGCGAGCGGGTCCGATGCTGTTCCTATTGACGCCCCAGGGACATCAGAGACATCATCCGAGCCACTCTGCGTGTCTCGTGTGACTGAGGAGATGAGTCGTCTCGGCATGCGCGGGGTGGGGGTCGCGTACACGATCGTGGACTGGGAGGAGATGTTCGACGCGGGCCAAGTTCCAAGTGACAATTTGGTACGCGGACCGAACCATGTGTCGGTATATGGGCGGCGGGAGGTGTCAGAATTGGTGCGCGGGTTGGGTTTGCCCCCCCAATTGGCAGTACGTCGTCCCAACCGCGCAGAGCCGAATTGGGAACTGCCCCCCAGGATGGTTCGGCGTGTACTCCGAATATTGGAGGATGAGTTTCAAATTCCCTATCGACCCTCTGTTGTGCGCTCTTTATAGGCATCTGGGTTGTTCAATTGCGAGCATATCTCCTTCGGTGGTTATGCACGCATCTTGTCTTCG